CTAGTTGTTGTTGACTTTGTGGGTCGTTAACAGATAAAATATAAAGATGAAGTAGATTAAAGAGATTTAAGAGCCGCTTCGCACAAAAATCGGACATATCATGGCAAGGCTCGAAAAATCCAATCTATTCATATTTTTTTTATTGATAAGTTGTTGTTTTTTTAACATTTTTTTTCAAAAAGACATAGAGATTCTTTTTTACAATCATTACGTTTCACATATACAACTATACAACACACTGAAAAAAATTAAATACAACTACGTACAATAAAGGAAATACAAAACGATGCTGCACCTATCATATCTATATTTTATATATTTGCGCAGAGTAAAAAATAATTTTTTTTTTACCTTTTTGGATGGCTATCTTGCTTTAAATAAGAAATTATATTTTCATATTTTTTCAAATGGAGAGCCAACCTTCCTGTCCTTTTGGCAATATCATAATCTATCTTTTCATTTTGTCTTATCGCCGATTGGAATTCATTTACCTGATCAAAGGTATCTTCTTCTTTTTCCTTGCTAGAAAAAGAGTCATTTCGAAGACAAGGAACAAATAATTTATGAAAATATTTCCATCTTGACCAAGCAGTATATTTAATATTCAAATTTGGCAAGCCCAGATCCACAGATCTCAGCCAGTTGTTACAACTATCATAAAACTGGTTAAAAATTCACTCTGTAAAAAAATGATCGACAGTTTYTTCTTCTTTGTGACAAAAACTACACATCGGGGAATCCACTTTATTAAACAAAAAAAGCTTTTTGTTTAAATATAGACAGTTATTTAGGATCTTATATTGAAAAGCTCTTAATTTGACCTCGTTTGTTGTTTTATAAATTCTACGATAAACTGTCGTCCACNAATCAACTCTTCCGATTATCTCCTGAATTGGGTATATGAGATGATAATTGTCAGCTCCTAACAAAATGTCAATTTTTCCTTTGTTTGTTACTGGAAAGAATGGTATGTCCTTCAAATGCTTGTAACTATTCTTCTTACTGACCCAGTTGACAGCTTTCATTCCTCCGCAGATGTTAACAGATGTCTTTGCTTTGATAATGGTGTTGACCTGGTTATCTAGACTGGCTATACCGATACTGAGTGTCATTGAAGGGAAGCTTACTTGTTGCGCATTAGCAACATTGACGTTGACCCACTCCTTTTCACCTTGTATGCCGAATTCATGTATAACATCCTCGTTGATATATGTTGTATCACTTCCTTCATCAATAAAACAATTTACTGACAGTCTCTTGTTTCCATGTTTCAAGACAACAGGGATTGTTCGTGGTGCTACTTTGCCACATGTCGCAATGTGGGTATTAGGATCCCCCTCCGTGTTTCTACTTGCTCCAAAATGACTTTCGCTTGATGGTTGGAAATTGGATCCTACGTTGAATGGACTAGCACTTGGTGGCGTTAACAAAGGAGCATTACCAACGAAAGGATAATGGTTGAAATGTGTGGGTGGTCCATTGTACGATTGGGCTTGAAATGGTCCTGGCTGTGTCGTTGTTGGGCCGGCCTGGGTTGTCGTCTCACTGTTTTTGTCCATATGTAATAGTCTGTGGTGACTGTCCATACATCCATTCAGGTTGCACACTCTACTCCTAGGACACTTAGTACCAAGATGACCATCAGACAAACATCTATAACAAACACCAAGCTTCTTTGCAGTGCTCCAACGATCTTTCACAGTTTTGCTTTTGAATGATTCACATGACCACAGTCCGTGTTGTCCCCCACAGCATCTACATTTTCGTCGATCACTTGTTTGTACTCTTGGTTCTGATTGCAATGTTCCGTAGGATTTTGGACTGTTCCTTTGTTCAGGAGGTTTATAAGTGGTAGTGTTTTCAGCCTTGAGTCCATACTTCAACTCAGCAGCCTGCATTTGTATTTCCGCTTCTTCTGCTGTCCAGTCTTTCAGTGTATTCAGTGATTCGGTTTTACCCTGTTCTTTAACCCATCTGTAGTACTGGCTAATGGTCTTTTCTGGTAACTTGTCAAGAATGATTGTGTACAATGTTCCAACTTCTAGGTCTGCTTTGCGATTGTTCTCTTGAAGCTTTATAACAGCTCTTTCTAGCATGTCAGCAAATTTTTCCAGAGCCTTTGGTTTATCCTCCTTGATAGGCTTTAGCTTTAGTAATTCATCTAGATGACCTTGAACGTCTCTCCTGTCTCCACCGTACTTGCGAACTAGTCTTGTCTTTGCTACTTTGTAGGCCTCTTCTGAGTAACCTAGTCCTTTAATCGTGTCCAATGCCTCTCCCGTTAAACATGATTCTAGTCTCAGCATCTTATATTGAGCTGTCATGGATGTGTCGTCGACGCAGCTTGTGAATGTAGCGTTCCACTGTGGAAACTGGCTTTTGTTGCCACCGAATGTAGGTAACTTTATTCTTTCTAAATTAGTAAAACCGCTTGATAAATTTTTGTCGTTGGCTGGTATCTCCGGACTGCCTTGTGGTGGAGGTGATTGGCTCGGCGATTTCGTCACTAACGATGTCAATGCACGACGGCCAAGAGCGGCCTCATGCTCGATACGTTCAATAATTTCGTCTGCTTCATCTCCAGCTTTAGTTGCAAGCTCATCCTGCTTGTTTTTCTTGTAAAGTTCGCAGAGTTCGTCGATTAGGTCCTCTGTGTCGTCTTTCAGTTCTTCTAGACGCCCTAAAATGACTTTAATTTCGTCGATGGCGCCATCTTGTCTCGATGCAATCTTTTCCGCCAAATTATTTAATAATTTTGTGATTGAACTCTTTCGCTTTCTTTTCTCCCGTTTGATCTCTTCGATCCTCGTTTGCCAGCCGCCGGTAGTTTCGCCCTCGGTCATTGTAGAAATATGTTTCTTTCAAACCACGTTATATTCAATTGAATTGTTAAAACAGCAACGTCAGCAAATTCCTTCGCGTCAAACACACAGAAACGAAGTAACTTGTTTAAGTCGTCAAATTTCCCTTTAATGTCGAAAATATCACTCCATTAATCCAGTAAATAATGATCTGAAAGTCGTCGATTTAAGATTATAAGTTGATCCACGATAATCCAGTAAAGTAACGCCGTAAAGGAGATTTCTGATGATTATCGGCGCCGATATAAACACTTCGCTATAGTTTTCCTTTTTGATGTCCAAAAATGAATACGATAAATGCCGTAAAATAAATCCAGTGAGTCGTAATCCAATTGCCGAAAATGCAATAAACGTAATAATCCACGATAATCCAGTAAAAATGACGCTGTTGAAGATCAAATTCCAATCTATTTCCAAGTCGAAGTCCACACACTCGATCGAGTAAACACGACAGAAAACACGCCGAAAGCACAACAAAATTCCACAAAGGGAAACACCAAAGCCACAAATTCCACTGTATCGATATTCTTCCGATGAAGATCCGGCTCAAAGGACCAAAATAATGTGAAGACACGAATTTTGTCCCGAATGACAACACTTTTATTCCGAAAAAACAAACTTACATTTTTACCATGCGGTAATCACGTGACTATCCCACACGCAGCCCAGTGGGTTACAAATTTTTGACCTAACAGCTTCTGAACTTTTCCCAGACTTCAGGAAACTTGGGAATGTTCTCTGGAACATTGAAGTGGAAGTATCAGTTGATCCATTTGGTTGAAAGGTTGTAAATTTGGTTTAAAGGCTGTAAATTTGTTGATCCATTTGGTTTAAAGGTTGTAAATTTGATGTATATATAATATTTCCATCAAATTTACATCATTTTGGACACTTACATTCATATTTCCATCAAATTTACAACATTCATATTTCCATCAAATTTACAACCTTTATGACGCGCGAATTTTTCCAGTGACTGTTTGGCATGTTCCTAGAGAAATATTTGTGAGACCATAATTCCCACCAGCTTGTTGGGTCGCTTCTTTCCTCGCTTGCAATGAGCAGTACGCCTAACTGCAAGTAATGAAAGACTTCTACTTATGTGGTATCTACGTGATATTTCCCACAATCGACAATTTGCCCTCAAAAAAGCGCCACAAAAGAAGAAGAAGAATCCCAGTTCATAGTGGCACACTTTATCAATGTGTGAATGGCACCCCTTTTACTCGGTTAGGCTGTGTTCAAATTAGGGGGCGTTTGTATGTATCAAGAGCCCCAATGATATATACCTGCAGTATATGGCGGGCTCTTAATGGTTTCTGTCAATCAAGCACTGGAAAAAATCGCGCGCTTTAAAGGTTGTAAATTTGATGTAAATATTATGTAAGTGTCCAAAATGATGTCAATTTGATGTAAATTTGATGCCTAAATTGTAAATTTACATCGAAGCGAGACAACCGTTGAGCGTGCAATGATAAATACCTGTGAATAATTGTCTGTAGGCGTAAAAGAAGGTTTCTATCATTACACTCTCAACGGTCGTCTCGCTTCGATGTAAAGGCACGGCTACCTTTCAAGATGGCGCAGGGAACAGAGAGAGCGCAGAGAGCGTGACGAGCGGTCATGACTTTTTGAGCTCTACAAAATGA